TATTAAAATGAAAACAAAATTCCATATTAAAAATCTTTACTATGAAGACACCTGGTAGCACTTGAAATTTGAAAATGGTTTTTGCCCAGATTAACTTAAATAAATCAAGAATTGGTAACAAGATGGAAAACACCACTTAAAGCGGCATTCTTTCCACAAACGAATCGGACATTAATGGGACATTCTTTTTGGGAATTTTTTCTCGAAAACAAAGCGTCTAAATGCATAGTCGAAATGTTGCTGCATAATATTCGATAAAGTGGAGACGATTGAACCGGGGATGTGATATTTTAGCTGCTGGGAGAAAAGCATTTTTTTCGAAAGGAACAAATTTTCATTATGAGTTGTATGTATTGGCGATATCAGTGCCATTATTAATATCAGCATCAGTATCGGTATCAGTTCCAGTGTCAGTATTAGTATCAATCTCAGTATTACGATTATCAGCATCAGTAGTGATGTCGGTATCAGTAAAAGCATCACTGAAAATCAAAATTAATATCAGTTTCAGTAATGCCAATATCATAGTCCTTTCAGTATTAATCGTCTAACAAAATGTCAAAATCTTAAAACTTTAACGTAAAGAATATAATGGGTCTCGTTAATTAGGGTCATACAATTGTGGGCTTTACTAATCAACGTCCAATAATTAACAAATCCTCCGAAGCACAAAATTTGGCTAATTGCTTACATCATCTACAAGTGACAACTATTTTCACCCATTTAAACAAACTAGCTCAGATGAAGGCAGATTATTATAATTGTATTGTAGGATAGACAGAAGGATAGGATACTTCCTATAAGCAACTACAAGGACATATACTTCCTATAGCAACTACAAGGACATTTAACATTAAAACACCTACGCACACGAAAATACTACTGAGACATATTGTAATAGGTCACAGAATAACTTGTAACAATTAACCACAATTAAGGCACTTTAATTAAGGTCACAAAAGTAAGTAGAATGGGAAGCATCGACCAACTTAATTTAAATCTTCATACATACATACCTATTCGTTAACTATTTCAAGAGAACAATGCTCTTGCATGCCGTGCGCTTAATTATGAGTAAACAAAGCAAATTCTCCAAAGTGTGTCGTATCTGGCCAAGGAATGTTCGTTAAGAGTTCGGCACGAAATGACAGACACAATAGCCGTTCGCTGCAGACAAACAATTACTTATACATACTTGTAATTATTTGGAAATGCGAATATTTGCTCTTGTTAATATTGTCAACATAATTGAATACTGGCAAATGAGTTCACAAACACAGACGGGTGTCAAACTAGAATAGAGCAAATTTTTGCCTTATATAAATAACAAACTATAAGTACATATGTGTGTATGCCGTTGTTGGTTAACATACCATCATAATCAGCAGCATGCCATCAATGTTGGGTACTTCAGTTGGCACCCAAAAATTGTAGCATATCCAGAAGGCGGCGCACGATTTGTATAATACATTAAATCATACATACATATGGAGAGGCATACATGCATATTTACACACTTACATAACCAGAAGAACTTACACTTATTTAAACAGCAGTCTCAATAGAGCAGTGTACGAGGTAGTGGAGAAGGGAAAACACCATCATTTGCGTGCGTAACTGGGCCATTGCCATTGTTCTTGTCAATTTGGCTATTCCAGCATTATTGTCATGTTTTCTTGGAATGTTCGTGCTTCGTCCAACCGCATTTCTTACAAAGGATTTGTTTACCGCTTCCATAATTTTTCCCATCCCTAACAATGCCTTTTTTGTCGCCGGCATTCTCGCCACACTTCCGCTCTGACACGTTTTTATACGGCCAAAGACATGCTTCAAGTTAAGTGCTAAATAGCATGTAGCAAGCACAGAGAGAGAAAAGTAACAGAATTCGGCTGGCGATGGTGTGACCAATGAAGGAGGTGACTGCCACACTTTATATTGGGGACTTGGTAATGGCAATTACTAGTGAAATAATGACGCTTGATAATAAATTCCTTTTGTATACAAAAGTCGATCTGGCTCTTTAAAGTGACGAAGTGGCCAGTGTTACTTTTGTTTAAAAATATATGGTCTTATTCATAAAAATAAAGTGGGTTTAAGGAGCTTTTTAAATTGACGTTTCAATACATTTTTCAATTTATAA